GAGGTTGATTGAATTTTGAGTTGCAAAGATGACGGAGGCACTTTGTTGTTATAGCTCGTTTTGCCGTGTTCATTGACCTTTACCGAAAACTCTCCACTAGTAGCCATGTTGAGCTTAAAGCCCTTTCTTGTCAACCCGTTGATTGATTGGTGTGATATGTGGTGAATTGGTGGCATTTCGTTGAATGAGACGGACATTGGGTGCATTTGGTTGCTTAAAAAAAAAGATTACATATATATGAAGAAGAGAGCTCGCAAGGCGAGTCGGAGGATTCTGTTCCGCTTCCTAAGTCGATTAACGTTGACTAGTAATGAGCATTGGGAAACTACTATAGGGTACTTGGATGACCTCCAACGTTTAAACCTATAGAATGTTGTCCTACGACTCGTTGTTGATCGGAAAAAGCAACTCTCTAGTAAAAAAAAAAAAAAAAAAAAAAAAAAAAAAAAAAAAAAAAAAAAAAAAAAAAAAAAAAAAAAAAAAAAAAAAAAAAAAAAAAAAAAAAAAAAAAAAAAAAAAAAAAAAAAAAAAAAAAAAAAAAAAAAAAAAAAAAAAAAAAAAAAAAAAAAAAAAAAAAAAAAAAAAAAAAAAAAAAAAAAAAAAAAAAAAAAAAAAAAAAAAAAAAAAAAAAAAAAAAAAAAAAAAAAAAAAAAAAAAAAAAAAAAAAAAAAAAAAAAAAAAAAAAAAAAAAAAAAAAAAAAAAAAAAAAAAAAAAAAAAAAAGGAGAAGGAAAATCTCAAGTAGTGAAGTGTAACGTGATAAGAGCATTGTGGCGTGGAATGTGGAGTTGTGTATACGGTTTGCGTGATACGTCTCGAACTTATTGATATCCATTTGAGTGTCTCGGCCTATGTGTTCATCCTTTCCGTGACCAAAATCCGCATTTCAACCCGTTAAGTCCTCTTGATTTGCTATCTTGAATTTTGATTGATTACGAGTATTTTAGACGATGGGCAAGCTTATGGTGACACTTGGATATTAATCAATTTGAGTGTAGCCGTAATATATGTTAGCAAAAGAATGAGTGAGGCGCATATTGATATTTCTATGTTGAGAATTTGTCATCTCAGGCCAAGGCGATGTGTGAAGAATGTGGTCTTTCGATTGTTTGAATTCGACTCATTTGAGTTGGGCATCTTGACAACTTTTCTTATGTGAATCTCGTACACTTGTTCGAGTTTGTTTTCTTTTTCGGGACGAACAAAGCTTTAAGTGTGGGGGAGTTGTTTGTCCCATTTTTGTTGCGTTTTTCGTTGTTATTTTGTCCCTCATATTGAGTCATTTAGATGGTTTTAGGATCATTTTGTCATTTATTATGTGTTTTGCGTTCATTTGAGTGTTGCGATGTTTTCCGGTTGTTTTCCGGTCTTTTTCTGTTCTCTTTTCGTTTTTGGTGTGTAGTTTGAAGACCTCAGGAGAACAGGTTTTCGAGAATCTTGTGGGGAAGCTGACACCATTAGATAGAGAGGTTCGTTAGCGACACGTAGAAAAAAACGGAACTCAATTCTGAGTTAAAACGAACCCGAACGAGCAAAAATCATAAGATGGTGCAATGCAGATTTTGGTCTCCACGGCCGCGACCCTTTCTTCGCCGCGGCCGCGGCGAAGAAAAGCTGCCAGGTCCCAAATTTCAGCAATGAAAATCCCGCGGCCTCGGAGCTCTCTGCGGCCGTGGAGGGCGCGTTTCAACCTTTAAAACCCAATTTCTGCGATTTTTGACAAGGGGGGAGAAATGGGGGTGCGATTGGGGGGTGCCCTAGCCTAAAAACTTCCTCTCCGTTCTCCATCTTCTTCCTCTCCGTTCTCCATTTTCTTCTTCCTCCTCTTCTTCATCTTCTTTCTTCTTCTTCTTCTTCTTCTTCTTCTTTCTTCTTCCACCACTTTATTTTATTTTCTTTCAAGGATTAAGCTTGTATTATGGATTCAACTCTTGGACTTAGATTGATTGTGAGTTTAATTTTTCTTTGAATTAATTCATGCATAATGGTTAATTTAGGAGAAATACTTTGTTGTGTTGAATCAATAATGAGTAGCTAATCCTTTCTGCTAGGGATAGGGGATGATTGTTCTTGATTAATTTCGTTATTATTGGGCTTTAATTTGTTCCTGCTTATGCGAGTTGCGTTAATTAGGGTTAATTAATTCTTACTTGATAACTTGATATAATCGAAGGGTGACACTTCGATCTTGCAATTGGTATCAATTGAATGTTAATTTGTCGAGTTAGGGTTTGGTGGTTCTATATGATTAGTTGATTAAACACCTTCTAGTTGAATTAGCGACTCTTAGAACCGAAAGGGGAAAAGTCGTAGACCTAGGCTCGCATGAGATAGATGATTTCGTAACTGAATAGTCTATAGGTTTTGGATTGAAATACATACTTGCCGATGACCCGTCTCTTGTTACGAAAAGTTATTGAGACTGGGATAATTGACATGTGTTGTATGCTCGAGCTAGCTCGTCTATGTTCAATCCCTTGTTACGAAGAGTTATTGGGAGCGAACCGCTAGATGTCTAAGCGAGAGTGTCAATCTCGAACCGAACAATTGATTGCCCGGTTTTGCTTAGAACTTGAATAAATTATCCCTGATTTCCTAGCTTCTTTATCGCTTTCTAGTTCGTACTTTAGGTTCGTTTTTGTTTGCTGTTGATTCCTTAGTTGATAATATATTCCTCATTTCTGATTAGAGTGTTTAGGTTTTTATCTTCTTTTTGTGTGAAATCAATACCGAAGTTAAATTCCGAACCGCCTTCCTCGAGAGATCGACCCGGGAAACGAACCCTTGATTCGATACTCGGTAAAAATAACAATTTGTGCTACAACAACCACTCCCACGTGAAGGGAGAGCCTTCATAGCCAGCGTCAATTAACTCACAATCCGCCACTGCCTAAAAGAAGTCTAAGATCTTCGCGGAGTAGTCTGACTGGCCACCAACGCACTCATCGGGATGAAGAAAGATGTTGAAATCACCGCTAACCATCCACAGTAATACCTCCATGATTTCAGCAATCTCAGAATGGTGTCCCACAGATCATAACGACGAACCCTCGCACAGGTGGCATAGACCAGGGTGTAGAAGATTGGTTCCGGAAGATGGGCGGCAGAGAGCTCCACATGCAGAACCTGTTCAGTGTCACGGATACCCGACAGGTAAGCCACATGAGTGAAAAAACCAGATCTTATTAGAGATGATTCCCACACCGAAGTGGAACCCAAGGCAGTGGGAATAAGAGTCAAAAGAGGGGTTATGGGTCATGGGCTCTAGGAAAGCTGCAAAGTCAAGATTATGGTCACGAACAATAGAGCAAACGTGTGCAATAGTGGTTGTATTTGCCAGACCACGGGAATTCCATATTAGGGATGTGACTGACATATCAAATGTCAGATAGGACACCTAACTGGATCTGCCCGTGGCGAGGCTGAGTCTGTCTATCTAGGAGGATAAAGCACAGTTAACCGAGCGCTTTGTGGTCCTAGATCTGGTCTGAGGACGGTGGTGGACTGGACTATGAGAGAGAATATCCTCCAGAGATCTGATAAGAGGGTGGTGGTGGTGGTCTAGGCTCTCTAAGTGGGAGTCCTCCAGCGGGGAGAATGGCTCTGAAGAAAAGTCATCAGACTGATGAGCTCTCAGTCCTGCAATGGTCAGGGCCCAAACATGGCCAGGTACAGGTCCTGACCCCTGGGGGAAATGGAGGGAAGGTCAGCAGACAGGGCAGTAAGGGTCTCAACAGTGGGTGAAGGCAGGGTAGGAAGGGTCCAAAGGGGTGAAGGCGGTAAGAGGCCTTAAAACCTGGGGGCCCTCTATAGAAGAAACGGGTTCACAGAGCGTCGCTGTGGCACAGGAAGTGTTGGCGAGGAGGGACATGAGGCAGACTTTCTAAAGAACCGGACGGGACCGTCTCATCATCCAACAGATCGTCATCATCGTAGGGGGGACTGAGCGTGTCTCCTGATGGGCCAGTGGGGGATGCATGCTCATCCTCCACCTCTGAAGAAGGGACAGAGAAGCGGGAGTGGACGGCCAAAGGGGCCGTCTGAGAGCCTGATGAGAGAAAAAACCAGTGGCTTTGGATTTAGATCCGTCCAAAGCCACATCCTTGGGGTGGTTAGGTGGGGAAGCCTTTCCGACCTGACAGGTAGACTCAATAGCAGCCTTACCCTTGTCCTTTTGTCCCTTCGGGGACTGAGGGGCACGGGCAGGGGCCTTACCCTTTCTCTTTGGGTTCCTCTAAGCAGATAAGGGGCCCGATCTTGCCGCGCGGCGGCGTGGTGGAAGTGTCAGCTGGGGCTTGTTGCCCTTAGTGTAGCAGTCCGACGCAGCGTGACCCATATGGTCACAGAGCGTACAAAAAGGTGGGACTCTCTCATAAACCACCTTTTGGACAGTGGTTGTTCCTTCCTGGTTAACCTCACTCTCTTCGATGAGCTCACCACGGAGGTCTATCTTGACGCACACCCTTGTGACGGATAGCCTCGAGCGGTTGGCCGTGGGGGCATCAACCTTGATCGGCTTGCCAATACAGCTGACAATCGAGGAGAGGATAGTGGGGTTGAAGAGATGAGGCATAAGGCCTATGAGACAACACCAGACTGTAGACTTGTCAAAATGGGTCTGGGCCCGCGGGCCAGCCCGCCACGCCCCGCCAAACAGGTGGGTTGGGTTCGTATTTTATAGGCCTGCTGTTTGGCGCGGGCTTTGGCGAGGCGGGGTGGGCGGGCCGCGGGCCAGCCCGCCATTACAGAAAAAAAAAATATATGTAATGTAAGTATGTAACATTCAGTATTAGAAATCGCGTGCAAAACAGAAACAGAGTCTTAAAATTAAAAAATAAGTCTATCATTTTTAATAATTTTTTTCATTAAGTCTTAAAATTAAAAAATAAAAACAAATTGAAACAAATAAAGTTTAAAGGAACAGAATTTACAGAAACAGAGTCGCACTCGCGTCGGGTAAATAAACCCTAGTCTCTCACTCTCACTCTCAAGTCTCATCTCTTATTCCTCTCTCTGAACCCCGGCGTGCGGCTGGTCGGCGACCTTCGAGCGGCAGAGACGGTGACAGCGAGACCTTCGAAGCTTCGACTCGAGCGGTGGGACCTCGGCTCGTGTGGCGACTAGCGAGCGGCGAACCTTCAAGGGGCAGCAACAGTGTCGAGCGGCAAGGGGCAGCAGCAGGGTCTCCGAGCGATGCCGGCAACAACAAGACAACTCCATTTCGGTAAAGGGGAAAGATGGTTGAACCTGAACCTCTTTGATTCTATCTGTTCTATGGGGTGTATTTGTGTGTATTTGTCACTGATTGTGAATTGAATTGGGTGACATTGAATTGAATCAATGTTGTGATTATATATTGAATTCTGAAGTTGATGAATGTGAGTTGATTTTGATTTGTTTTTCTCTATTTTCTTTTGGAGGTGTTGAAATCATAATGGATCCATCTTCTTTGGACAAATTCATTAATGTGGATGATGATAATGAAAATGAAATGTCTGGTACGTCTAAAGCTAACCCAAAGGAAACTTCAGATGTTTGGGAATTTTTTAAACAAATGGGCCCGGTGCGGATGGTATATTAAGAGCTGTGTGTAAGGCATGTAAAAAAGAGTATAAGTGTGGGGGTAAAAGATATGGAACTTCTACTTTGAGGCGCCATATACAAGCTTGCAAAATGATACAATATCATGATGTTGGTCAAATGTTTGTTGATAATGAAGGAAAACTTCAATCTAGAAAGATATGTCCCAAGACTTCACGAGACTTGTTAGCTGCTGCAGTAATTAAGCATGATATACCATTTTCATTTGTCGAATATGATGGCATTAGGGTTTGGATGTCTTATATAAACCCTAATGTTCCTCGTATTTCTAGAAATACTCTTGTTTCCGACATTACGAAAATGTATACGAGGGAGAAAGCGAAGCTTAAGCATGTTTTGACTAGTCTTGAAAGTAGAATTTGCTTAACTTCTGACGTGTGGACTGCATGCACTAGTGAAGGGTATATTTGCTTGACTGCGCATTATATTGATGAGAATTGGAAGCTAAATAGTAAAATACTTTCGTTTGATGCCATGCCTCCTCCACATTCCGGAGTTGAATTAGCTTCTAAAGTATTTGAATGTTTGAAAGGTTGAGGGATTGAGAAGAAAATATTTCCATTGACACTTGATAATGCAAGTAGCAATGATTCTATGTCTAAATTTTTGAAAGAACAACTTGCTTTGAATGGGAGCTTAGTGTGCGAGGGGAAGTTTTTTCATGTTTGGTGTGCCGCTCACATTTTGAATCTCATTGTCCAAGACGGTGTGAAAGTTATTAGTGATGCATTGGCAAAGATTAGGGAATCTATTAAATATGTGAAAGGCTCCCAAGGTAGGATGAAAAAATTTGAAGAATGTATACAAGCGGTTGGTGGTATTGAAACGGGTGTGGGTTTGAGACTTGATGTACCGACCCGTTGGAACTCGACATATTTGATGTTGGAAAGTGCCACTGAATACAAGAGGGTATTCTCTTCTCTTCAACTACATGATCGGAATTATGTTTTTTGTCCTTCAAATGAAGAGTGGATGAGGGCGGAGAAAATATGCGATTTCCTTGAGCCGTTTTATAAGACTAGCAAATTGATATCCGGTTCTTCTTATCCTACTTCAAACATGTATTTTATGCAAGTTTGGAAAATACAAGAGGCATTGTTGAGAAATATGGTGAATGATGATGAGACTATAAGAGAGATGTGCACGTTGATGAAAGGAAAATTTGACAAGTATTGGGGTGAATATAAAGAGTTGCTTGCATTTGGTGCCATTCTTGATCCAAGAATCAAATATTTGATGTTGGAGTATTTTTATTCCAAAGTTGAGTTTGATCATGTCAAATGCGAGAAGACTATGTCACTTGTGAAGCAAAACTTGTACAAATTATATGAGAGTTATGAGAGTGCTTTGGGCCCACATTCTTCCCAAGGGGGTATTTCTTCATCTCAAACTATTCCATCTCCATTGCCAAGTAGATCGACTTTGAAAACACATGGAAAAAGAGTTTTTGATGTAAGCATTTTAACAAGTTTCATGTTCATATATTTTCTTTATTTTTCTATGTGTGATAAACAATTAATTATTAAATGAATTTTTTGATTTAATGTAGGACATGTGTTCTTTTGAGAGCAAATCTAAAAGAATTGCCGGGAAAACTCAATTGGACCTCTATTTGGAGGAACCAAAATTTGATTTTGGTTTTTATGACAAATTGGATGTCTTGGGGTATTGGAAAGATCAAGAGAAACGATTTCCGGCCCTTGCATTGATGGCACGTGATGTGTTGGCCATTCCTATTACTAGCGTTGCTTCGGAGTCCGCATTCTCCATTGGTGCTCACGTGCTCACCAAGTATAGGAGTCGTATTCTACCGGAAAAAATTCAAGCTCTCATTTGCACTCGTAATTGGTTGCATGGATTCGTTGTTGGTAAGAAATATTTTTTACGTTTAAATTACATTTATTCATCTACTCGGATTAATATATACTTCAATATGTCCCTTTCTTTAATTTATACTTTTGTATTTTTTATATGTAGATGATGAAAGAAAGAAAGAAAAATCAAGTGAAGACTCAAATGTTCTAGCTAGCATTAATGAAGAAGGTGATGAAGGAGAAAATGAGGATTTTGATGATGTGATGATTGATGAATTTTGAGTTTGATATAGTGCTTTTGATCGTTGATGTGATTCACTAATTTGTTTTCTATTGATGATTGATGGACTTGTAGGCTTTAAACTTTAATGTTTGAATGACATTGTCTTTTAGTTGTTTGGATTTGATTTGAATGAAATGACTTGGTTTATTCAATTGTATTGTGAATTTTGTATAGTTTTTTTTCTTTTTGGCGGGTTTTGGCGGGCTGCGGGCCGGCCCGCCCCGCCGGCTCGTTTTGACAAGTCTACCAAACTGGGACAATGGGTGACTCAGTCGATGTGGAGAAGATGGGAGTGTACTTGAACACTCGTCCAGAGCACCCATAGACGATCATATACGCCTTGATCCAAACCGCATCATAATCCTCTCCCGACTCAAAGAACACAAGGTAATGGTTGAAATTTAAGAACTTAGGGGTAAGTCTACCCTTAAAACCCATCTTTCCTAATCCAACAGATAAGTCTCGGAGGGAAGGGACAGAGAAGAAGAACGTTAAAATAAGTGCATTATCAAATGGTCCGACTAAGGAAGAAACAACGAGTTCAGGGATGCTAACCATAAACCTACCTGTCTCGGATAGGGTGATAGCACCCAGTTGCTTGTCCCGGAAAGACTCAAGCGATAGTTCCTGGTGTCCTGACTTGCTGGCAGGATTGCCGGAGATCACATCCTGGAATGATTGGGGGTCAGCGGGGGCAAGGCTGGAGGTGCCGTCGAAGTGGTCGGAATGAAAAGGTCCACAAAGTTGCCCCTTGGGGGCTGTCCTGTCTCCGTAGCAATGGGTGGTTGAATCATCTTGACGGTTGTCGGAATGGAGGTGCCCGGCAGTGAGCTGGGGCCGCGACAAAACAGTCCGGCAGACGAGAGGATAGCTTCGGTGACCTGGGGGCGACCATGGGGTGGCCGGCTTCGGTGCCAGTGAAGGGTTTGCCAGTCGGCGCTGGAATAGGGACGGTGGCCGCCGAAAGACTGGTGGTTGACGGGCTTTGATGGATCCACGCAGTTAGGTGGTTGACGGGCTTGAAGGAGGATATGAGATGAGTGTGTTTGGGCTGTAGGGAAAAAGTGGATTGGGTTGTGGGGTGATTTGGTTTGGTAAGTGGGTGAATTGGGCTGGGAGTGATGTTTGATGAAGTTGTTTAACAGTTGGTGTCGATTTGGGCCTGGGGAGTGGCCCAGAAATGTTAGAGAAGAATGGGTTGTCCACATTGATTTGGGATTGGCCCACGTTGGATGTGAGCTGAAGGGTAGGGTTAGGATTTAATGTGACGCCGCAAGTGGAGGGTTCGGGATTGGTCAAGGGGTTAACCGTCGGGGGAAAGGCCGAACACATCATCGGCGGCAGAGAGCTAAAAAGCAGAGGCGCCGGAAGAGCTCCATCACTGGCGACGATGGCGCTGTTAGCGATCGGAGCATCGCTTGAGCTGTCCAAAGTAGCTGAGGACGGGACCGTGTTCTTGGACGAGCTTCCAGGTTGTTGGGCAGGTGGCGGCAAGTCCTTCCCGGCGGCAGAGATGGCGCCGACGGCAGCCATGACCGCTGAGGGGGCTGAGACGGGGATTTCCCCTTCTTCCAGCTGGGTGGCTGGGATTCTTCCTACCAAGAAATCACTCAGGGGTCGCTTGAGATCTGGTTGAGAGAGGAAGTCGACCAACTCCGATAAGGAGAGGATGGCCGGAGAAGATGCCGGAGGGGTCGGAGGGGAGGACGGAAGGGGATGCATGGGGCTAGGAAAAAGGAAAGAAAAAGAAAACAGAGAGGGAAAAAAGACAGGCCGGAGGCCAGGGCAAGCCGCCGGCGACGACAGCCGAAAAAAAAAGGTTAGGTGTAAGTGGTGGCCGGAAATAAAAAGGGGGAAAAGAGGAGAAAAGTGGTGGATTTGAAATCTAGAGAGAGAGAGAGAGAGAGCTAGAGAGAAAGGAGAGCATCTGTTTTTTAACCATGGTGGACTTTATAAATACGGCCATCTTACCAATTAGTCTTTGATAACTCATGGGTAAATCCTTTCTCAGAAATTCTTTGTTCATTCTCACCTTCTAAGCTTTGATTTTTTGATTATTCGACGATCGCCAATCTTTTTTTTTTGGGCTTCTTTTATATATATGTTTGTAAACTCCGGCACCATGTCGATCTCGGGCAGTGCCACTTCCTCGACCTCTTCTCCCCAGCCCCTAGAGGAACCCTCTAAGGACATTCCTTTGAACTTAGCCCTTTTCATTTCTCGTAGACAACGAGAGCAGACCATAATTGTAAAAGACAACAAAATCAAGGTTTTTGTCCGGCGTGGTAAAAGCCATTAAACCAAGCCCCATAACATCTTACTCCAACGGCCACATCACTAACCTACTCATGAATGTGAGCTTCTCCGATCTTGGGACTTCAAAGTTCCTAAGTTCGGTGAACGTACCTTTCAACCAACCCCCCTCGGGCTGTTGGACATAAACCTCAGCGACCTCCTAGGCAATCTCCTTACCTCAATACGTTTTTTTTTTCTCGAAGTGTAGAAGTCCCCATCAGTGGGACCTTCTGCAATCATCTGAATTACGCCTCTCTTAGGCGGTTTGTCCTCTCTAAGTGTAGGGGGAGTTGCTATGTATGTTCTTGTTGGTATTTTTGGTGTTTATATAGTCTTATTTCGGGATCATTTGAGCTCCTTTCATAGATTTTTCTCGTCCATTAGGTTGTTTTTGCTCGTTTATGTATTTTCGTGTTATTTGCGTATTTTGTGTAGTCTTCGTTTACTTTTAAATTTAGTTTTGTGTAGGAATGTTGCTTGGATATTTTTGTCAAGAGACATTCCCCAAATAGGGCTCAAAATTAATCGGAATAAACATCACGCATCGAGTGAAGTCTGAGGAGCACGAACCGAGTGATTTGGAGTCAAACGAGTGCCCCCATTATGTATATTTTGTGACCAAAATCCACTTACCGGAAAATTTTGCAAGTTAAAACTCTATAATGGTTCGTTCAGGACGAGTAGAAAAAACAAAATTCAATTAATTTCAAGTCTGGATTAGCTCGTACATGCCCGCGGCGCACGGGCGCGTAGCGACCATCATCTTACAGCACTGGTACCTTCACGATGCAAAGCACCCCTTCCGACCAGCCTTCTTCACATAGACGACCATCGCGCCCGATGCGAGACACTGATTTCAGTGCCTATTTCTTCACTGCGCGACGCCCGACGCGATGTACACAAGCTCTATCTTCCAACACTCCTTCACTACGCGATTGTCTTCACGACGCGACCACGGATGTTACACAAATGAATATGGATGAGATTTTGGCCTCGTTTTGAATGGGTTTATAGGGACTCTTGCGTTTGGATAAGTTTATCTTGGAAAACATGAAGAATAGCCCGAGACCGATTCCTAGGCTACGAAACACAAAAACACTCTTGTAAATTTAGTTTTGTAGTTTTTTCTCCATTTTTCCTTTGCCTCGTGCTTGAACTGTTGAAATCGAACACATGGAGAACGAACGCTTGCGATCTCTTTCGTTATTGTAAGTTTTTCGTTTATTATTATTATTGTTGATTGAATGCGAGTTTTTCAATTTCAATTAACGTGAAATGCATTCGAGCATGAGGTAATTGATTTACCTAGGGCTAGGGATTTCATTTCTCGTTTTGAACTTGTGTTGATTGTATGGTATTCATTCCTATTCGAATTATTTGATAAAATTGATTAGTTGTTTGATCATCATCTAATCTAAGCAGATAACTTAGAATCCTTAAGGAGATAGGGTATCCGGTTATTGTTAGAATAAAGTAGACGTGTTCGTAATTATATTGTCTATTTGTTCTTTGACCGAAGTATGTGTTTTTCTATGTTTGAACCTGTGTTCGTAAAAGTATCGGGGACGAGCCTCTAGGCTTGTATGTACGCTTTAACTTGGTCGTTTATATTCAATCCATTATTACGAGAGTTATCGGGAGTTAACAACTTGGCGTTTAGGTGAGAGCCACAATTTTAAAACCGAACACTAATACGTTTGATATAGATTTATGACTTGCAGCGATTATTCCGAACCCCTATAATTCTACTTTTTTTTTGTTTTATTGTTATTTACTTATTTTATGAGTTTTGGTAGTCTTTAGATAATTCACTCAACCAATCATGATTAGAATGTTTAGGACTTATTTCATTTTTGTGTGTGATCGACACCGAAATCTATATTCCGAACTGCCTTTCTCGAGAGATCGACCCAGAGTCGGGGTTCGTCTCATACTCGGTAAAAATATAATTTGCTACAACAATTTACTCCATATTTTTAAATAAAATATGTGAAGTGTATAAATTTTTTACAAGTTGCAGTAATAAACATGTACACATTCTTGTTTAGTATACGTTTAGTTTAGATGTGGTTAATATCTACATTTTGAGACAACTTTTCATGTGGTTTTAAATGTGGTTAATCTGTAACTTTGGAGACATTATCAGCAAAATAAAACGAGGACCAACCATTTAATTTTATTTTTTCGGCGACTACCGTGCATAAATTTCTGTACATGCAGTCTTTTTCACTTAGAACCTCTCTAACATCATCCTCTGTTGTAGTGGATGAATACCATTGTTGAAGACATTATCTGTCGGTAAAGTAAAACCAAGGTTTATATTACATTTATATCGAGTAAACGCGGACCAGTCCATAGTCAACATAACAAGTTAAACATCAAATTTAATATAGTATGAAAATCAATTAAATTCAACGAGTTTCGACGTCCATGTGTGCAAGGCCAAACACCGGTGCCCACTGTTGGGACCCAACCGATGTCTCTAAAATGCACTTCCACGAGTTCCCGACCCCCGACTTTTGAAAACCCGAATCTCGGCCCATATGCCCCAACAAAATTCCCGTCTCAGCTCATTTTCTCGTTTTCCGCCACCATCGACATTCCTGACCTGTTCTATGCGTTCGTGCAGAATTTTTCGAAAAACGACATATGAATATAAAGATTTATCATTAATTTTTGTTCATAATATTTATATTTTTGGTAACATATAGATATAGAGATATAATTGATTAGGTATTTATACATCTTGTTAATTTTCTTCCATAACTGACTCAGAGCGTAATTTTAGTATTTAATATTGTAAAAAGTCTAATGTTAGGTCAATGAAAAATTTGAGACATATATCATATGAATTTTAAAATGGTATATGTGTACTTTATCATAAAAATAGGCCGTCATTTTAGCGAGTTCTTTTACATAGTGTTTGGTTCGAGGGATTTGGAGGGGAGGGGAGGGGAGGGAAAATTTTAATTTTCTCTTGTTTGGTTGAAAAATTAGGAGGGGAGGGAGAGGAAAATTTTAAGTAAATTTCCCTCCCCTCCCTCACTTTACCTCCCCTCCAAAATTGGAGGGATTTGGAAGGAAAATGTGTTAAGATGGTGTGAAAATACCATTTAGTCCCTACTTTCAATTGTTTTTTATTTTTTATCTTATTTCATTAAGGGTAAGTTTGTCATTTTAATTTTATTTTCCCTTCCTTTAATTTTTGAACCAAACAAGGGTTACTATTTTCCCTCCCTTCCCCTCCTGAATAATCCCTCCAAACAAGGTAAAATTATTTTACATCCCCTCCCTTCCCCTCCATTAAAATCCCTCCCCTCCCTTCCTCTCCATTGAACCAAACACACCCTTAACCCCACACTTCAATCATAAATAATCAGTCTTCTCCTGCACGAAATCTCGAGTTTGTGTGAAGTGCAAAAACCAGCCATGGGTTCCGGTAATCCCATCTCTCCACTGCAAATGTTTTTCTATGATCCTTTTGCTGTTTCAGTTGATGTTATTTTTCTCTTCCTTTTCGTATTTTTGCCCAATTGTGCGATGTGTTAATCTTTTTGCTCTACGATTTTGCGAAGATGCTGATATGGAGGATTATGGTTTCGAGTACTCGGACGAGGAGCCTGAGGAACAGGATGTTGATATTGAGAATCAATACTACAACTCCAAAGGTGCGAATTGCGATTATTTATTTGATTGCAACCATTTTCGTTTTTCCTCTTTTTGTGGCTGTCTGAAATGCTCTTTGACGAACAATTTTATATAAATGTGATTATTATTTTATGTAGTATATTATGAACTTCTTATAGAGCTGGTAAGCAAGCAGCCCTGCTTGTTAGTGAAGTTTATATTTAATAATTGAACCGTGTTCCTGCGCTCATACAACTATTTGGTAACAGAAGTTAACGGTGTGAAGTGTTATGATAAACTGATTAAGTTTATCTGAGATACAAAATTGATAGTTCTTGAGAAATTTTGTTCTTTTATTACCTGGACTTACTTGACATTTTTCTGTAGCCTAAGTTGTGACAGTAGTGCTGCTTTTCTTTAGGCTTGGTTGAGACAGACCCGGAAGCAGCACTGGAAGGTTTTGGAGAGGTGGTTCGTATGGAACCCGAGAAGGCTGAATGGTAACTTTTTCGATTTTACGACCTTAGTATGACATTATTAGTTGGTACTGTATTAAAGGATGAATGGTAACTTTTGTCGATTTTATGAGGTTAGTATGACGTTATTAGTTGGTAATGTATTGCGGTTTCCTTAATAGGACGACAATGATCAGGAACTTCCTTTTGTCATTGCTCTCTGTTTCCTTGTCTATATTCTATAATTTACTTGTCTTTTCAACTGTCACTATTTGCTATTAAATGTGCATTTGATTATCTGAATCATCGTATTATCTCTCTACAGTTAAGTGAATCCAAGAAATATATTCTAATAAGCTATAACACAGATTGAAATCAAGATTTTGGGTCTGAGTGAACTTCGTTACTATAACTTGTAGTCTCCAAAGATATTATTATTCTTGCTGTGTCAGGAATGTCAAGGGAGTGTTTGTTTATAAATTATTTCAATTCATACTCAAAATTTAACTCAACTTTAACTCAACCCCACTATCCTCAATATTATCAATATAATTTAATAATATCAATCAATCATTCTTACATATCATATCAACTTTTATTCGTTATTCATCCACTCTCATAATTTTAACTAACTATAACTTTAAATCATGTCTCTCCTACTTTTACATCAAACTAACTTTAATTATTTTATTTTAAATATAAATATAATATAAACTCAAAATCCCACTAACAACTAACCATGCCAACTTTTTCAAAATTAACCATGGTTAAATTAACTCTGGTAAAAAAAAAAAACTCATTTTGAGCGGATATATTTGTATCGAAGCACGCCCTAAAAGTTATAGGTTACTGGTCGATCAGGAAACATAAATTTGCAAAAAAATTATAAGCTGAAATCAGGTTCTCCGTTCTTGTTTATTGAGCTATTGTCCTTTTTATACATGACTTCTGCTTTGATATATTGTGCATATGAATGGATAACATGCTTTTTTCTTGCCTGCAGGGGATTTAAAGCTTTAAAACAGACTGTTAAGCTTTACTATAAGCTTGGGAAATACAAAGAAATGATGGATGCTTACAGAGACATGTTGACTTATATTAAATCTGCAGTGACTAGAAATTACAGCGAGAAATGCATAAATAATATCATGGATTTTATTTCTGGATCTGCTGGTCAAAACTTTAGCCTTCTACAAGAGTTCTATCAGACGACGTTGAAGGCCCTTGAAGAGGCGAAGAATGAGGTCAAAAATATGTTTCATTTGAAATCCAGTGTTTCATCATCATCGTTGCTACCACCAGCACCACCACCTTTTTTTGTTTGTGAATAACTTTCACTAACCCCTCCTTTCTGCAGAGACTATGGTTTAAAACAAATCTGAAGTTGTGCAAAATATGGTTTGACATTGGCGAATATGGACGGATGAGTAAGGTATTGTTATAAATACGTATTATCAAGTAGATTTTGTCATAAAAGGTTTGCTTTGAAAAACCATGTGAGTATTTAGAAGTTGATATGAATGTTATTCATTATACCCAAACAGATTCTGAAGGAGCTTCACAAATCTTGTCAAAAAGAAGATGGTTCTGACGATCAGAAGAAAGGTACACAATTGCTGGAAGTCTATGCTATTGAGATCCAAATGTACACCGAGACTAAAAACAACAAAAAGCTGAAGGTAGGTTTGAGTAATGGTTTTTCACTTTCTGAAAGCAAATTGCTCCACTGATATAAATATTTTATTTTGTGATATCTCAATATTAAGCATGCACTCAAGTTACACAATGCTAATTTTTGCAGGAATTATATCAAAAGGCATTGACGGTGAAATCTGCTATACCTCATCCGAGAATCATGGGGATAATTCGTGAGTGTGGTGGAAAAATGCATATGGCTGAGCGGCAGTGGGCGGAGGCGGCTACAGATTTCTTTGAAGCTTTCAAGAACTATGATGAAGCTGGGAATCAGAGGCGCATCCAGTGCTTAAAGTATTCACTTTAATTCATTAAATTTATTTGGATTGATTGGGGAGGAATGACACTTGCATCTTGCTTTTCTGATTATATGCATTGGCCTCTTACTGCATTCATCTTAAATTGGATATGCATTTGTGCATAGTGTTTATTTGTTCTTGGAGCTAGATTGAAGTTTTGTCGGAACCTGAATAAATAATGTGTCTCAGTTGCTTTTCTGAATAGGTTATGTATAGAGTGGATTTTGTTTAAAATTGAATGAGGTATACAGATATTGAGTCGCGCATTCACTCCTATGTTGAGGAAGTGTGGCATGCATAAATATTGGTGTATAGACTGATAATTTTTGGATATGCTGCCATGGTGAACTCAATTGAGTGGGGCTTATGTGTCAGATATTTGGTGCTGGCAAATATGCTGATGGAATCCGAGGTCAACCCGTTTGATGGTCAAGAAGCAAAGCCGTAAGTTGATTAATGAATCTTAACATTTTTTTTGTTTCTTTAATTATTTGATTGCGGATTTTAGCCTCAATGCTCTTGTTTGCATCATAGGTACAAAAATGATCCTGAGATTCTGGCAATGACAAACCTGATTGCAGCTTATCAGAGGAATGAGATTTTGGAATTTGAGAAAATACTTAAGGTACCCATTCTTAGCATGCGGTATCAATAAATTCATCTTTCCAGTTTATTCTGAAGTATATGTGGTGATTTATGTGGCAGAGTAACAGGAGGACTATAATGGAAGATCCGTTTATTCGAAACTACATCGAAGATCTTCTGAAGAATGTGAGAACACAAGTGTTGCTCAAGCTCATCAAGCCTTACACGAGAATTCGGATCCCCTTCATATCCAAGGTGAAAATCAGAGTTTCTTGTGTAGCAGGGAACTTCTTTTGTTTCCCTCTTCCCCGACATGTT